GCGTCTTATTCTCTCTCTTTCGTAATTAGGAAGCAAACAGAGGCGGCGGTCTTGCCAAGTTGGCGGAGTCGGAGATGAAACAGCAGTTTCCGTCCACCCATTCTTCCACGGCTCGGCCACCTGACTCGTCGTCGATCGGGGTGAAAGGGCGACGACGATATATCCTCGCTGCCAGAACCAACCCTCCAAAGTCTCGAATCGTTTCGCGCCTTGCTTCCTCCGTTTCCGCTTTTTCCACCCCCTCGTCCAAGCGGGGGCGACCCTCTTACGCTCGCGGGTCGACCAACCCCTCCGTGAAAGTCGTATCGAGCACACAAACGGGGGACGTGGTTTTTGCCGACTGTCGAGAAACTGGCCCCTCCCCCTCCCCGTTCGTCGCGCACCCGTTTTTTCGTCCGACCAACTCGCGAAAAGTCGCGGAAACGAGTGTTTTTCTCCCTCCCCTCCGGTGAAATATTACTCGTCTTTCTTTCTTTTCGTCTCTCCCTCCCCTGCATATATTAGACCGTGACGTACCCCTCCCCACAGCAGTTGTTATTTCTGATATTTTCCTCCGAGCCGAGATCTCTCTACGTCATCTTTGTGGATGAAGAAAACGGGGCCAAACGGTTGGGAAGAGAAACGGAGATCTCCCTCCCTTCGACTCGTATCCCTTTTACTTACGTACTCCCCCGTACGGTACAAGCGAGCGGCACGCGTTTTCTTACCCCCGAAACTTTCCACGCGCATTCCTCGAGTTCGTACGCGTTCCACCGCAAACGAGCGAGTAATCCCCCTCTACGCTCGTTCTCGACGAGCTCGTCGTTCTTGCCCCGCGTACGAGTCCCTCCTTTCCTTCTCGTTCCCCACGCCACCGATACGAAATTGAACTAATTTGACTTGTCGAGCGTCAAATTTCGTAAAAAAAAAGGAAAGAAGAGAAAGGAAACAGAAAAAAGTGGTTTTGCGACGTGACACGATCGACATCGGCTTAAATAATTTTTAATTACCCTTTTAATTACACGATAACAAAACGAACGTTTGTTACGTTCGATTGTCTCCTAAATGGAAGCGCGATTGCTTGGCCCGAAAAGAAATATTGTTCGAGGTTGTCCAATCGCGGTAATTGGCGCGGTGCGGTAATGCAATCGGATATACGCGAGCTGGTTTTTGTAGCTCGGTGAAAGCTATCGCAGTAAATATCCGGTTGGGCTCGTAACGAATTTTACAGGTGGCGAACGACGCCCAACTCGTCGATGCGGAATCACAGCGCGCGCGCCACCTCGTTTCCGAGTTTAATAATCCGTCAAAATTGACCACGTCCTGCTCTCTTTCACTCTCTCTCTCTCTTTTTTTTTTTTTTTTTTTGCGGCCCATTATAAATACCCTCTCTTCTCTTCTCGTCTGCCTCTCTTTTTTTTTTTTTTTTTTTTTTTACGGGATACAAAAACGCGCTTATAAAGCGTATACACATTTATATATATTTTATTTAATTTAACGCGAAGGAAGGAACGGGGACAAAATATACGAATGAAAAATAGATGGTATCAACACAGCTGTTCCACCGTTAGACAGAGTTTACGACGCGAACGTGATTCCACCGCTATTTTTCAGATTAGATTTCCCATGCGTATTTTTAAACGTTTTATTTTATTTCGTTTCGTTTGTTTGTCGACAAGAGAGCTCCGATGTTTCGACGAGGACGAATCGACCGACGTTTTCGAGTATCTTCTCTCGAGTCTGAACTCGCTTCGTAACTTGCGGAGATATGACGGTTAGTTACGAGTGACGCGCCGAGTCGTTCCGAGTTTTGCCGAACTTGCACGAGCAGGTTCCGCCAGGCACGCAAGATACGAACATTAGCGGAAAATTAATTGGGCGCGCGAGCCGTGCATGTAACGGAACGTGAAAGGCGTGTGTATACACGCGTCGATTTTGATCCGGCACAACTGGATATTGCGAATGACACCTAGAATCACGACGCGCAGCGCGAATTCGAAATATCCGCGAATCGTTCCCGTCGAAATTCACCGCTTTTAATTAATTATCCGCGCGTGAACCACTCCAACGATCCCCCGCCTCCCTTTTCCGCGCCTCTCTCCAGCCAATGGAGGCCGCCCGTTCGAATTCATAAAAGCTATAACGGGGGCTATCGCGATGAAAAATCGCGAGGCAGGGTGTATCGACCACGTATCGACGGATACACAGTAGCTTCGAATAATCCGCAACCATCCGTTTCAACCTCGTTTTCGAGGTTATTAAACGAGGAATAATCTTAAATATTTCTTTGCTCGAGAAAGCACAGCCTGTTTCGAAACTGTTTCCCGTGCTGGGTTTCGGGAGAGGTGCGGGTCGTGGCGACGGGTTTAATTAGCAAAAAGTTTCCTTTAAGGGAAGAGTGGAGGAGAAACTGGAGCATCGAAATGGCAATTTCCTGGCCGGTGCCTTATAGAAGGAACCAACCCCTATGTTTCGCATTATTTTGAATAAAGAACGAGGCGGCTACCCGGCAATCCATTTTCCTCGTCGCGGTCCCGGGGGACGTACTTTATGGAATTAGAGTATCCGCTCCCCAGGCCGAGGCACTCGGCTTCTTGGATATAATTCGCGTGGGGATTTATACGCGTA